CCCTCCCCCCCGCCGAAAAAGTTGTTCCTTGCACCTAAGAAAGCTTTTGACAAAATAAAAGAGCATGGAACTAGTGACGAATTGTTGTCTATTGGGCTGACATGAATTGAAAAATTCTAAAAGCTATTGGACATGCTGGGTTGGTATTGGACTCAAACATCTGAATGCGAGTGGACTTGAATTGGTGTTCGTGTTATGTGGCTCAGTTGTCTGAGATATGGTGTCCATGCTTGCTAGCTCTTTTATTTTGGCAGATGTGTAGTGAATATGATTTTCAAACTGGCAGGCACCACCACCTTGCTGCCAGCATCAACTTTCTTTCATTAACCTATTAAAAGTTTTCTTATGATGAAGGTAAAAGCTATAATTGCTGAAGGTTCACTTGCAAAAATTGTGTGAAAAAGGTTACCTGAAAGAGACAAACGGTAGAAACCTACTGTATGAAGAATGCTTGACCTGTTGCAAACTTGCAATGCGCATTTATGTTACTCTTTGAATAGCTATATATGCATTGATGTCCTTTTCCCTTATCTTCCTGGATGGTTCCTATTGTTCTCTTTCCCCATCTGCTGGTTATCAGCAGTTATGAGTTACTGTTTTCCACTTTTAGCCATCAGAGTAATTTTGAAACATTTGAAATGGAAGCCCAAGTGGCTGACTTGGAAACTTTGCAATAGGTAGTGTAAATAGAGATGGACCAGATTTTTTCCAAATTCCATGCATGATAACTACTTAGGAGCTACTTACTTATCAGTGTCTCTGGTGATTGCGGATCCCCTTCCTTGTCAATCAGAAGTAGTTGAAGTGATAGAGCCTTTATTCAAATAAATTTTATTAGTATGATGAGCTTCTCTCAATTATGTTGGGTGATAGAATAGGGGATTTGCTTTGATAAGCTTATGAATTTACAAGAATGTAGAGAGGTCAGGTAGGATAGGAACAGGAAGTATAATATGATCGGAAAACAGCTACTTGGTGGAACATCTCTACTGAAGAACTATTTCAGTAGAACGGGTGCTGCTGTGTGGTGACCATAGAAGTAAATTAGTAATGAAAAGGAAAAAGTTATGTCGTTTAACTATTAGTTCTATTGGTTCGATTTTTGCTTCTAGCGAAGATGAGAAGCAAAAAATGAATGTGTTGGTAATACACCCCAAGGTTTCTTTAACAAAAGAATCTTGATAAAAATATAAAATAATACATTAGCCCTTCCATGACTCTAGCAGCTATCTTATACGACATATTATTTCATGTTTATACACAATTACCCTGTTGCCGGGAACACAGTGGTTTTCCTGAAATTTTAATTGCAATTACCTTACTCGGTTGTTGATATGTCTTAAGTTGCAAAAAGAGTCGAATGCTTGTACCTGCACTGCCATTTAACCCTTTCTTTCTCACCAAATGCAGGACCGGAAACGGTAGAATTAGCGCTTGTGGAGGTGATGGTTTTGCTGGTGGAGGTGGTGGAAGAGTTTCTGTCGATATTTTTAGTAGACACGACGAACCAGAGATCTTTGCGTATGGTAGGGCTATTTACCTTGTTTGTTTAAGAATCTTCTAACTTCACACATTGTTTATGTGAAGTGTGATAACTTCCCAGTTCCCGCTCATAGTTGAGCAAGGGAACTAAACCATGGAAAATTCTATGGCTATTCCAAAGATGAATGATGAAGTGAGAATTGGCCTCTCGTGCTTTTGGATTTTAACTTGCACCATGCTGTGTTAAACATTAGCTATCTCTACGTAGCAACTATTCCCTTAGCAGGATGCATTATCTCTCGTCTTGATGAAAGATTTATTCTAGAAATACTTATGGTAAGAAAACCTTATCATGTGGGCTCCGTAAGTAGTTAATTGTGGCCTTTGGATAGGTAAACCGCTTGAACATTTCTTACTTCTATTTATTATTTTGTTCAGCTGGTACTAAAGCCAATGCAACCTCCATTTTTCTGCATGCAGGAGGAAGCAGTCGTGGTTGCCCAGAAAATGCAGGCGCAGCTGGAACTTTCTATGATAATGTCCCCCGCAGTCTTACTGTTAGCAACCACAATAAATCAACTTCTACAGACACGCTTCTCTTGGATCTTCCTCAGCCACTTCTGACAAATGTTTATATTCGCAACCACGCTAAGGCTGCTGTCCCCTTGCTGTGGAGTCGTGTTCAGGTTGGTGGAGTGCATCTTAATTTTCCTTTTTCAGTTTTTCGTGAGAGTAAATATATGTGTAACCTCAATTGATTGAACTTACTTGACATTGAATCTATTGAGTGAAGCATCATAGAGAAGTTATATTTTCCTTGGTTATAATGAGAAATTTTGCTGTTTATTCTTTATAAAGATAGTCCCTTCCTACTCCTTTATTCTATTTTATGCATATCAAACTCTTGCCTCAGGATGTTATGTATGTTTCTAAATGATTCCTGCATTGTTTTACAATTAATGCTTTATTTTCCTTGGTTGCGTTAGTTTTCATGGTTTTGCTTCGTGTTTCCTAGGTTAGGTGTCTTTAACTTGTCCTCATTGATTTTCTTCACATGGATCTTACAATGAAGAAAAGGGATTGTTCTGGTTTCCCATTTTTTATTTTGTTATTTGTTCTGATGTTTTACCGATACTTTTAAGTTGTACCCATAATGTGATGCATTGTAGATAAATCTAGAAATTGAGTTATGTACCAAAGTTATCAACTCATCTTCATTCTAGATTCTACATGTCACAGGATGGGCATTTAATCTGAAAAGGTTAAATTTGCTTGACATCTAACTTCTTTCATCTAAGAAGAACTTGATTTCCTTATGTGAAAGGAACTTGTATAAGATAGAAAGATAAAATCCCCAAGAGCTGCAATGGGGGTCCAAGGGCTCTGAAAGAATAAAAGTGATACAAAACACTCCAATCCTTTTTTTGCTTTTCCAGTTATAGAGCTCTTCATTTAAATTATCTTTATAACACCCCTTTTAATTGAAGAATTTAATTATTCAGAAGCTTACAATAATTCTTTTACTTTCACTCCTTGAAAAGCCAAACAAGCCAAGGGGTTTCTTTTCACCTTGAGGTGACAATGAAATGCCTTGGGAAATTTAGCTGCCTAAGCATTGTAGTGGTTCTCCAGCTTCCTTCTGTTTTGCACCCCTGCCTCTGTTTTTGGATTATATGAGTATCTTATCTCTCTCTCATATAGGTCCAAGGTCAAATCAGCCTTTTGTGTAATGGAGCGCTGAGCTTTGGGCTGGCACGTTATGCGATGTCAGAGTTTGAATTATTGGCAGAGGAGCTTTTGATGAGTGATTCTGTCATTAAGGTAAGCGGTAGAATCTCCTTGCAAATACAGATTTTGTTGTTTTATAGGGTTGTAGTGTCTCCTTAAGCCCTTTCTTTTGGTGATCTATAGAAGTGTTAATGCAATATTCCAATTGGAAAGTCTTTTTCACATCCGTTTTTCATTTACATTTGTCTTCATAAACTCTTAACTGTTAAACTCTAGCTTGTGCCTCTACTCTTCTTTTCTTCTACTTGAATGATGTTATAGCTGTCCTTTGGAGCGTCAACTTTGATGCATTACTTGCATTGACCACCGGAAACATCAATACATGCAATACATATTGCATGTGTTTGCTAAAGCTACTTCACGGAAGTTGAAAAACAGCTTAGCTAAGCGTAAGGTCTCCCTGCTGTTGTGTTGTAGTTGTACTCTAATAACAGCTTGACTAACTATTAACCGTAATGTCTCCTCAGTCTTGCATTTTCTGACACTGTCATATAAAAGCATAAAAATAATCTTAAACGAAGGGAAAAGTTCCAGACTGAAGCAGGTGACGCTAGCTTTGTTACCTTCTTTTCATGCTGCTGTATCTCTCCTCCTTGTACTAAAATAAGGTGTCTCTCCTTGTAGTGCAGATGCCTGAGGCTGTCAAGTAGCTCCCTGAATATAAATTGAAAATTATCTTGAGTTGGTTATTTTGAGAACTTTCTATGTTTAGTTTGCATGATTTGGGTTCTACCTATGTCAAAATGATTTAGAACCCTACCTTCGGTTATTTAACCTAAGATTTTTGCTATAATCATTTTGCTTACTGAAAAAAGGATAATAATAGCAGGGATGACTCTTAGATTTGTGCAATGCGCGGCACCAATTTTGAAACTGTGGTCCAGCACCCTTTTCTTTTATTTCAAAAAGATTTGCATGTCTAGAATCAAAAGGAGAGTTTATAGTTTCTCTTTCCTTCATTATTTGGGGTCATAAGCAACCAAATGAGTTGGGATCCTCTGAATGCTGTTCCTTATTTGATTGTAGATTAATGTTTCTTTCATCATTAAGGTTTTAAGGAAGAGTTGTCACAATTATTCATTAGGATGAAAGAGAAGTTGGAGTTTTATTCACTGACAATGTCTGGTCTATCTCGCTGCTGCTGTTCCCTTCGTGTTGTATGCTCTTGTACCTATTTTTTTGATACGGTAGGGTAAAATACCTACTTCAGCCAGCCTCAGTTTTGCTTCTGTGATTTTATGCTTTCTTTTGGTTCTTTGGCATAAATTTCTTCACTGTGCTTCTAGAAGCATAGTTATATTGCAGCTCTTATACTCATTGTCCTTAAGCGCTGTGTCTTGTATTAGCGTATTTCTGAAACCTTGGCAGTGAATGTTATCTGATTTGTTCTTTTCAGGTTTTTGGAGCGCTACGGATGTCTGTCAAAATGTTTCTGATGTGGAATTCGAGAATGATAATTGATGGTGGTGGAGATCAAAATGTTGAGACAACAATGCTTGAGGCTAGTAACCTAATTGTTCTTAAGGTGCTCTTTCTTTTTCCGTTGCTTGTTTTTCTTGGTTGTCTTATCGTACTTGTTCATTTTGAGATGTCCTCTACGTGCCATCTTATGCAGGAATCATCTCAAATTCGTTCGAATGCAAATCTTGGAGTTCATGGCCAAGGGTTGTTGAATTTATCTGGACCAGGAGATGCTATTGAAGCTCAAAGACTGGTCCTGTCTTTATTTTACAGCGTCAATGTGAGCAGAAATCTTGTTTTGAGTCCTTTTGTTTCTGTGTTTATAGGAGATGTGCAATAGATTCCTAACTGGTCTATACTTGCTTTCTTTCGACACTTGATTTTTCCTGGTCACTTGATCTTTTATGGTATTTTTGACATCGGTATATGGATTTTTCAAATTGCGTGTAGTAATTTCTTTCTCCCTCGTCGTCTTTATATGAATATCAGATGCAAGATAATATATGTCAGTCTGCATTGGGTATCTGTGTTACTGTTCCAATTCTTTTCACTAGCAAGGTGGTAACTGAGCTTAGTCTTTGCTCAGGTTTTCACCTGATCTATGTTCTGCCTCAGCTCCTGAGGAGCTTGGTATTCCAGTTCCTGGCCTTATATGTAGTTTGGGTTGACCATTTTTTTTTTCTATATATCATATCTATTTATTTTATTTCTTGCCTACTATTCTCTTACTGCATGCAGATTGGACCAGGGTCGGTTTTGCGTGGTCCTTCACGAAATGCGACAGCTGATGCTGTGTGAGTTCCTAATTACTTGTTCCCTCCCCCTATTGTTTCTTTTCCAAGAAGCTTTCTTTGATTTGTTAATGGGATATATGGTGCTTGATAGGAAACCGAAGTTGAACTGTGATAGTCCAGGTTGTCCTTTTGAATTGCTCCACCCTCCAGAAGACTGCAACGTGAATTCTTCACTATCATTCACTTTACAGGTGCTATTTTCTGCCCAGTATCAAAACAGACATCTCTGCATGATGTGTGTATAGATTGTACGGTGCACTTATGCAACTCTAATTCTCCCTTTATCTGCAGATCTGCCGAGTTGAAGATATCCTTGTTGAAGGCCTCATAGAAGGATCTGTTGTTCATTTCCACAGAGCAAGGACTGTAGATGTGCAACCTTATGGAATTATTAGCACATCAGGGATGGGTCTGTTCTTAATTTCCTTCAATTTATATTTGATGTTATCATATTAACTTTTTCAATGTAACCCTTATCTTACATTGCTTTTCTTAAGGCAGGGTTTAATTTCTTTAGTGATTGAGAAATACTAGTGTATACTATCATTGCTTTGACAGTTCAAATTTATCTGTTAGAGAAAGGTCAAATTTGCCTTAAAGAAAAAAGCTCACATTTAGATGCAAAACTTCAATGTTATTATTGTCAAACAAATCAAACGACAACAATATACTTTCTCAGAACGTATTATGTAACCTCATTGTTTCATCGGTTCCACTGTGTCATCTCCACAGGCTGCACTGGAGGAGTAGGCAAAGGATCAGTTCTAAGCAATGGTCTTGGCAGTGGTGCTGGTCATGGTGGTGAAGGCGGATATGGATATTATAATGGAAGCTGCATTGGGGGTGGCATCACATATGGAGATCCCAATTTGCCATGTGAACCCGGCAGTGGAAGTGGGAATAGTAGCCTAGCTGGATCAACAGCAGGTGGTGGTGTTTTGGGTAAGTTGGATTCGTCTTCTTCACTATAATCCCCAGCTTCCGCTTTCTTCCCTGTGCTAGCTTTATCTTTTTGTATATGACAAGTGACAACCTGTGGATGGTTGATCAACTCGATTTGGTAATGAAACAAATTGCATAAACATCTATTGCTTTATTAATTTTGTAGTAAAGGTGGAATTCTTCATGTGATCTTGAATTTCCTCTTTAAGTAGTAGAATAATTATCATGGCATGCCATGGGCCTGGTGAAAAAAAACAATGCAAGCTTTGTAATGCCAAATTTAAATGTTAAGCCGACAACAGTTTTAAATGCCACTTCTTTTTGTTGCAACCATATCAGCTAAGTCTTACATTCAACTGAGAGGTCAGGCCAACTCCGCATTCATCCTGGTTTGATCCAAAAATTAGATTTTATTGAATGGATTAATCACCCGAAATTACTAAAATTTTGAAAGAAAGATACATCTTATTCAAATTCTCCCGCTATACGAGTGGTATAAAGAAGTAGAAGACCTGCACAAACATATGGTTCTTCACAAATAATATCCGCTTATACTTATAAAAACTTTGCCGGTACTCCAAGATTTAACCAGTAACAAGAAACTAGCATTCAGTACAAAATTATTTTCCACACTTTCACAAGCTTCCTTTTTTCTTCTAGAGTACCCACAAGATAGCCAAAAGGGTTTCATCACATGCTCTACATCTTCTATTCCTTCGTCGGAAACCCCAGCTAAACATCACATCCTTTTCTGTGGTGGGCATCATCCACTATATTCCGAACAGACTCTGCACCATCCATCATAATTGACTAGCTGCCAAAAGGGTGGTAATAGTTTGTCCACGTTTTCTCTCGAGCGGTCGCACATGTAACACTGCTATTTACTTATTTTTCGAATAAAGTAATAGTTGCAGATGTTTTGTATAGTCTGCAGGCATAGTAGAGTGTTCATTGATTGAAGATCTGGGGTCTTCTTATTCTCCAAACATGGCAGTTTTGGTATCTGCATCTAATGCTTCTTCTTCCATTGTTTGTAGTCGTCCTCTTTTCCTTCCCTTCCAAGGTCCAAGAACTCTTTTTTGATAAGTCAAATGCTTCATTAATAAGCACCAATTCAGTGTCCGAAAATACATACAAGATGTGTGTGTCACTCTGCTTGAGTCATACATTGTCTTCTACCAAAGGTACATGTGCAATAACAAAGATCTATTCATGCTTTCTACATCATTCTCACTATTACAAAATGATCTCCTATTCCATTTGTTCCATATACTCCTAACGGAGACAAGTAGATGTCATCTTCCATGTCTTTCCTTTCGTTGCTGATTCTCTCCAATCTCCAGCTTTTAGTTGCGTTCTCTACTAGTTCCAAGTAATTTTGTTGATAAAATGATCGATTGTTTCTCTTTGCTGAGGGAAGGGAGTGTGTATGAGATGATCTATTAGATTGTTCCTAACCAACCATCTTGTACCTAAAGAATTTGCTTTGGACAGAAAAGCTTGAAAACAAATAAAAGGGGCTTGGAAAAAATGTAATATTGTTCCTCTAAGTTCACTTCCTTATTCAAGCTCTGTTCATTATTCAAACTGAAGTGTTAACGAGCAAGAAAACATTCTTTATAAAATGTGATATTCATATTTTTTCAAATGTCAGAGTAAAGTAACACATGTGCAACAAATTCTCTAACCTTGTCAACTTCTGTGTGCTTCTACCTATTTAAAGCCTATCTAGTGTAAGTTTTTGGCTTGAATCGGATTTTGCATCCTCTGGATGCTCCTATTAATGGAATTTTACCTTACCTGATTAAAAGAAAAGTTTTTGGCTTGAATGCCTATGACTCGTCAAGCTATATCAGTTTTCGTCTGAATTTTGTCCTGATGCTTTACTCATTCATGAGATTCCCATTACATGCTACTGCTTGGCCAGTTGCTGTGAAAAACAGATTATTGTTTTTAATGCTTTGTCACTACACTATCTTTGGGTACTGTATAAATCTGTTTCCTCTGTTTCTCTTTTTTCTACTGTCATCCAAATGCAGTAATGGGCTCGTGGGAGCATCCCCTGATGTATTTGTCGGTTAAAGGCAAAGTTGACTCTGACGGGGACAGCTTTGAAGAAAGCTTCAGGAAGAAAGGTTATCTAACTAGAGATCAGTACATAGGGCCTGGAGGTGGATCCGGTGGAAGTATTCTATTGTTTTTGAGATCACTCCATCTTGGTGAATCTGGCACCATGTCAAGCCTTGGAGGTAGTAGCAGTTCCAGTGGTGGTGGTGGTGGAGGTGGTGGACGAATACACTTTCACTGGTCGGATATTCCTACTGGAGATGTGTATCAGCCAATAGCAACTGTGAATGGGAGCATCTATACAAGGTTTGTGCAGTTATGAATCAACATATTGCTAAAAAATTTATTTCCACAAGTTGTGCTATTGTTAATTTGCGTACTTTGGGATATGCACGGGTCATTTGATAAGTTATGGATAACTTGTGTAGTCATCTTAGTGCATCTTTTTCTAGTCTAGTTATTGTACTATAGAAATTGCTGAAGTAAACAGGTCCATTGTTCCGTGTTCTAGCCTGCTGGTAATGCCATGTTTCAATTCATTGAAAGATGCAATCTTGTTTCCCTGAATTCATAAACCATTTTTTCGAGACTGTATTATTGCACTATCAAGAGATGCAAATAGCTAGACCTGAAATATCCAAATGTTAAGTCTTGTTGTGTTTGCATTCTTTTGCTGCTGTTCGGATTACTTTGCTATGTAATTGGTACTTCTTGTCAAATTCTCTGCTTATAACATGAAGATACATAGTTTCACTTCAATGACTAGATAGAGTTGTAGCCTCACTTTTCATTGTTCTCTTTGGAAGTATGTCACTACATTGCTTATGATACTTCCTGAGCATCTGATTTCAAATTCTAATGGATGTTGGTTTATTAGTTGCATCAATTAGTAATTTGTTATTTGGCCTGATGGCCACAATCAACTTCAGAACCTCAAGTGCAATTTGTTGCTTCATTCTTTGCGGTTGCTTAGCTGGTCTAAGATCCAGTTAGGAGATAAAGCTAGAGACTGGATTAGAAGGTTTTTTTTGGCTGTTAATACATTTTTACAGGATGGATCCTATGAATGCATTTAAGATCTCTGTGACTGACAGGTCATTAAATTAAAGGTATTACAAAGAATTCCATTGTGGTTTCTTCGTGTATCCCACACGTCCTTTTGAGATTTTTGCAAATCTTTTTCTAGGAAGCATCTATGTATTGGTTTATATCTATATACTATATAGTGTTAGCATGTTAGGAGCGATTAGCAATTGGTTAATACTAAAGCCGTCAATATGGGCTTGGCCCGTTGG